CTGTCTCTGGTGATCTGCGGGCCAAGGTAGTGATGTAGTTCACCAAGGTCAGTGCACGTGTGTCTCTTCCGCAGTTCGGACTTCACCTCAGCCATTGCTGCCCTGTCTGCTGTAGCAAAGACCAAGTCGTCGACGTAAACAAGTATAAAGAAAGGAGTGGAACCAGCGCGAACAAATAGCGACGGGTCGGCAGAGGAAGGGCGAAACCCAAGGTCACGAAGCGTGGAGCGAAGAGTGTCGTGCCACTCACGGGGCGACAGGCGGAGACCGTAGACTGGTCGCCTCAGGCTCCACTGGGTCCCAGGTGCGAAGGTGTCAGTGAAGCAAGGAGGACGCCGCAGCCAGATCTCCTCATGTAGGCGGCCCTGGAGAAACGCAGTGGAGAAGTCGAGGGAGTGCAGCTCGTTGTCTCGCTGTGCTGCTACGTGCAGTAACACCCGAAGAGTAGTAATCTTCGAGGTCGGGGCGAAGGTCTGGAAGAAGTCAACTCCCTCACGCTGACTGAAACCCCTAGCCACGTAACGCGCCTTGAACACAGGCGGTGATCCAGGCGGCCGCTTCACCTTGAAGATCCACATGCCATCGACAACGTTCGCCCTAGGAGGGGGAACTGCGTCGACGTAGGTGCCTATGGATCTCCAAGACGCTAACTCTGAGTCCATAGCCGCTTTCCACTAAGAGGCCCACTCCCCTGACACCGCCTCACGGTACGTGCGAGGACTCGGTATGTCAAGGGCGTCAGGGTCTCCCTCATGGGAAAGCAGCATGGCGCAGAGAGAGGCGGAAACGGTTGCCAAGAACTCCAGCTGAAACTGTTTGTCCTCTAGGACGTTACAGCCAAGGGCAGACTCACCCCCGATGGACAGAGGACGGGGAGGTGGAGCAGCCACCACACGCGTGGCGTAGTCAAGACGGCGGGTGGAAGGAAAGTCAGTAACAGCGGCAGTAAGAGCCGAGACAGACGACGGAGAGGCACAAGGGTCCGTGACAAGAGAGGCGAGAACACGTGTGACAACAGGTCGAGCAGCACGGTAGTAGTCAGTGATATGGTGAGACGAGACAGTGAGAGACGACTCAGGAGGTGAGGGGAGATCAGACACAGGCGGAGCACGACGAGGACTAGAACGAAACAAGACAGTGCGGAGGTCGTCAACAGGAGACGAGGGACGAGCACGCGGAGGACAACGACTGGTCCAGTTGTGTGGGACAACAGGAGGAGACGACTGTGACGGAGGAGAGAAAACAGCCGGAGCCGAGTCCGGAGGAGGAAACGTAGGACCGTACGTGGTAGGGGACTGTGAGTGGACATGAGGGGACACTGGAGGGAACATCTGCTGCAAAAGTAGCAGCTGCAATGGCTGCTACTGCTGCTGCTGCTGCTGGTCCAGCTGCTGTAGCTCCTGCCTCTCCTTCTCCAACCGCCCCTGCTCCTCGCGCTCAAGCCGGCGAAGAGCCTGGGGACGTGTGTAGTAGCGGTGGGGAGGCGCAGTGGGCACCGCAGTAGTCGTGCCTCCGGCACCTGTCTCCTCAGTACTAGCTCCTACAGTGCCAGCACCTCCTGCTCCAGCACCCCCAGAACTAGCACCACTAGCGCCAGCACCTCCTGCGCCAGAAACCCTAGAACTAGCACCACTGGCGCCAGCACCACCAACGCCTGCACCTCCAACTCTAGCACCCCCAGAACTAGCACCTCCAGTGCCTGTACCTCCAGCTCCAGCACCCCCAGAACTAGCGCCACCAGCGCCAGCACCTCTAGCTCCAACACCTCTTGAACGAGCGCCCCCAGATCAAGTACCGCCAGTGGCAGTACCTCCAGCTCCAACACCACCCGAGTCTACAGGAGCCTGTCGCAGAAGTGCCGAGGGCTGCTAAAGGGACTGTGAGGAGGGCTTCGGGGAGGGAGACGCTACCTGACGCGCGAGCGATGGTAGAGGGGTAGCGTGAGACACACCTGACGGGGCAGGACAAGGGGGGGCCGGGGGTCCGCGCGCTGCCCTCCCTCGCCCGTCGCGGCGCCCTCAGGGAGCCCGCACGCTGCCCCCCCCGTCGCCCGTCGCGGCGCCTTCAGGGGGCCCGCGCGCTGCCCCCCGTCGCCTTTCGCGGCGCCCTCAGGGGGCCCGCGCGCTGCCCCCCGTCGCTCGTCGAGGCACCCCTGGGGCCTGTGCGCGCCCCCCCGCTGCCCGTCGTGGTGCCCCAGGGGCACGCGCGCGGCCTTTCCGTCGCCCGTCGCGGCGCCCTCGGGGGGCCTGCGCGCTGCCCCCCGTCGCACGTCGAGGCGCCTGTGGGGCTCGCGCGCTGCTTTGCACCAGCGACGCCGCCCCTGGAGCAGCCGCCCCTGGACCCAGAGCAGCCGCCCCTGGCCCCTGCAGCAGCCGCCACTGGTGCAGCCGCCCCTAGACCGTTGAGCAACCGCCCCTGGACCCAGAGCAGCCGCCCCTGGCCCCTGAAGCAGCCGCCCCTGGTGCAGCCGCCCCTGGACTCCGTGCAGCCACCCCTGGACCCCGCGACGCCGCCCCTGGACCCCGTGCAGCCGCCCCTGGATCCCGCGACGCGCCTGCACTTGGTGCAGCCGCCCCTACCTCACCTCGCGCCTGCCTTCGAGCAGCCGCCCCCGCGCCTGCACTCCGTGCAGTCGCCCCTGCCTCACCTGCGCCTGCCCTCGAGCAGCCGCCCCCGTGTACCTGCCCTGCTCCACGCTGTTGCCCTGCACGCGCGGCTGCCTGCCCTGCTCCGCGCTGTTGCCCTGCACGCGCGGCTGCCTGCCCTGCTCTGCGCTGTTGCCCTGCACGCGCGGCTGCCTGCCCTGCTCCGCGCTGTTGCCCTGCACGCGCCGCTACCCTGCCCTCCCCCCCCCCCCCCCCCCTCCCCCCCCCCCCGTCCCCTGGACAGGAGGGTGTGGGGGTGGCGGGTGTGGGTGTGCTACGTGTGCGTTGTCCCTTCCTTCTCCTCCTCCTCCGTCTCCCACTACTGCAGTTGCCGCTGAGGGGGGTGGATGTGTGGGAGCCGAGGGGAGTGGCACTAGGGGGGTGACTTGGGAATGGAGCTAGGGGTATAGCAAGGGGTGTGTGAATGGGGGGTGGGACAGTTGGGGGAGGTTGAGCGGAGGCTGCCGTCTTGTCGTCCGCAGCACCTGTAGTCCGGGGCTCTGCTGTTGGTAGCTCAGAGAGCCTACTGCGCCTGTCGCCCGTGTGTCCGTTGCTCCTGCCGCTCAGAGTTAGCCGCAGAGCCAGTTACTCCTGTAGTCAGGGGCCCTTGCTCCGGTAGCCACCGTGCGCGCCGCTCCTGTTGCCCATTTATCTGCAGCTTCAGCCATCGCCTCCTATCTCCTCTCCTCCCACAGTCCAGCCTCCTCCTCCTCGCTTGCCCTTTGTGAATGCCTCTAGCTTTGCTTGTCCTTGTGAACCTGCTCTATGACTGCTTGCTATGCTGATTATACCCCACTTTGACTATGGGGGTGTGTCAGAATATGTTATTTGTCTAGCCTGCAGTGGGGTACTCAATAGTGAGTACATCCCTTTAGGGTTTCCTATTTGTACCAACCTGCCTCCTAGTGCGATCACTCCATTATGTTTCTATCATTCTCGATCCTGCTTGGCACAACCTGCTAGTCTCACTGTGGCCTAGGCTACTAAGCCTAGGCCCTACTCCTAGTTTTTCTGACAGCCACGCCCTTAGTGTTCTTCACATGAGCAACTGAAGGGGAGCAACACGGAAAAAAGGGGACCATTTGCAAGTACTGCAAGAAACCGGGTCATACCATAGATCGGTGCTACAAGCGGAACGCTGTTAACGAGAGGCGCAGCAACACTCAAGCCTCCACGCCGCCTTCAACTCCAACGACGACAATAATGTCGCCGTCCTCCGTCGCAAGCACCTCTCAAACCCCTGCACGCATCTCGTCCAAAGACAAAGGCAAGGGGTCAGTGATCAGCTGCATGGTGCGCCGCTGTGCCTTTCGCTACTACGATGACATCGAATTTCCGCCAGACACTCCGATCGACCCAATTACACCGATCTCGAACAACAATCCCACGCCCAGTCGCTGGATCGACAGACCGACCAACATCCCACCTGATTTTGAGCTGCCTCCGAGCATGTCGGAGTCTCCCCCCAATTTTTCCACGAATGATCAGAACGATCTCTCGCCCTTCTTCATCGATCTTGACCGCATCGTTACTCCAAAGATTGTCGGCATCGCGCGACGAAGCCGCGACAACTTCATCACTTGGTACCTGGACAGCTGATATGGACAACACATGGTGGGGTCAACAAAATTCAACACCAACTCCAAAAGAATGCGACGGCCGTGCGAGATCACTGTCGCAAACAACAATCGTCTGCAGGCTTACGAGATTGGGGAAATCTTCTTGCAGGCAGGCGACACGAACTTCACCATTCACTTCGGTGGTGTACTCATTGTCGCCGACCTTCAGTTCAACCTCATTTCTGCTACTCTGTAGTTTGATGGCACTGAGTAGTTCCTGTACGGCTCGGCAATCAATCGCCTCCTTTCCTCATCCTTATCTGGCTCAATCTTACCAGAATTCGTCTCATCGTGGTTTCCTCACTCGGCAATCGCGGACCGTGGAATTCGTCTGCCGGGATTTCCCGAGTCAACAATCGCGAAGGAGACGATTCAGCTGCCGCGCGAAATCTGTCATCGAATGCGATGACATCCGAGGTGTGGTTATGAGGTAACTGGGTTTCGCGACTCGCGGAGTCATTTCGTTGGCTCGGAGAAATCCAGCACAGACGGCACGATTTATCAACCCGTTTCTGAATGTCAAGTCTCAGGGAACCCACTGCAATGCATATCAGTCCCTCAGTGTTATTCCCTTCAGTCCCTGCATCCCCCACCTCTTTCCCCCCTCTCCTCTCCTCTCTCCTCCCACCTGCAGAAGCGTTCCCCGACGTACCCCCACACAAGCACAAGCACGAGCACGAGCAGGAGCAGGAGCAGGAGCAGGAGCACGAGCAGGAGTCCTCTCAACTCCCTTCCTATGCCGTCTCTCCTCCTCATCCTCTGCCCCCCACCCATTTCCCGCCTTCCCCCTCCTATCAACCTGCAGAAGCGTTCCCTGACGTACCACCACGCAAGCACAAGCACAAACACCAGCACCAGCACAAGCACGAGCAGGATTCCACCCAACTACCACGCAAAGCGGGAAATGCAGAGGCGGAGAGTGAGACGGATGCAGGACGGCAAGAGCGGGCTGTAAGCCTTGGTGAAAGAGAAGGCCCAAACAGAGACAAGTTACAGGCAGCAAGGGAACAGGCAGCCACGGAACAGGCACCACTAGGGGAATAGTCACCACCAGGAGAGGGACCCTCCAAACTCTCCGCAGACTCCCAGCAGTCTCTCCGCGCGCTCTCCCCGGCTCTGGCCGCGTGGGTGGCGGAGAGAGCAAGCTCTGTCTCGCCAGAGGTGGTGGCGATTGCGAGTGTGTACTTTGTGCAGGGCGTGCTGGCTCGCCTCGCTGTGACGTTTCTTCTTAAGGACGACTTTGGGCTCGACCCTGCTGAGGTGCGTGCGTGTGTGGGTGTGTGGGTGTGCTCGTGTGTGTCCCTGCTTGTACTGCTGTTCTGGGGTAGTGCTGTCTCGCCAAAGGTGGTGGTGATCGCGATTGTGTACTTCGTGCAGGGCATGCTGGGCTTGGCTCGCCTTGCTGTTACCTTCCTTCTTAAAGATGACTTCGGGCTTGATCCTGCCGAGGTGAGTGCGTCTCTGTATGAGCATGTGCGCATGAGGTCGCTCTGCTGGGCTCGCGAGGGTCTCCCCCGAGGTGGTGGCGATCGCGAGTGTGTACTTCGTACAGGGCGTGCTGGGCTCGCTCGCCTCGCTGTCACTTTCTTGCTCAAAGACGATTTTGGCCTCGACCCTGCTGAGCTGCGTGTGTCTCACTGCATGTGCCTGTGCGCGCTCTGCTGGGCTAGTGTTGTCTCTCCAGAGGTGGTGGCGATCGCGAGTGTGTACTTCGTGCAGGGCGGGCTGGGCCTGGCTTGGCTTCCGCCCTTGCCTTCCGCCCTTGCCTTCCGCCCTTGCCCTCTCTTCGTCCCCATATTCCCCCCCAGGTGGCAGTCCTATCAGGTCTCTCCTCCCTCCCGTGGCTCATCAAGCCCATCTACGGCTTCATTAGCGACGGCATTCATCATTTTCCCTTGCTCTTGTAATCATCCACTACTCTTTTCCCAAATTTTCCCCCGACAGGTAGCTGTCCTATCGGGTCTCTCCTCCCTCCCCTGGCTCATCAAGCCCATCTACGGCTTTATCAGCGACGGCATTCCTCTCTTTGGCTATCGCCCCCGCTCCTACCTGGTCGCCTGCGGCCTGCTGGGGTATCTTGCTCTGTTAAACACCCCCAACTCCCGTGCATTCCCCATATTTTCCCCCCAGGTAGCTGTGCTATCGGGTCTCTCCTCCCTCCCGTGGCTCATTAAACCCATCTACGGCTTCATCAGCGATGGCATCCCTCTTTTTTATGTTCTTCCCCTACAACCACCACTTCTTCCCCCACACCCCCACTTCTTCCCCTGACACCCCCCCCCCCCCCCCCCCAGGTAGCAGTGCTATCAGGCCTCTCCTCCCTCCCATGGCTCATCAAACCCATCTACGGCTTGATCAGCGACGGCATTCCTCTTTTTGGCTACCGCCGGCGCTCCTACCTGGTGGCGTGTGGGCTGCTGGGGTCTGTGGCGTGGGGTGCGCTGGCATCGGTGGTGTTTCTGTGGGAGACCATTCGCCAGCCAGCCATTCTGCTGCCCACCGCCTTCATCTTCCTCTGGCAGGCCACTCCGCACTCCGAGACTGCTATGTTCTTCTTCACGTGAGTGCTTGCCGTGTGGGCATGGGGGTATGGGCATGAGCTTTCTGCTGCCCACCGCCTTCATCATTCTCATAAAGTGCGGAGTTGACATCCGCAGCAACTGCGAAGACAAAACCTTCGAGTTATTTTAAAAAAAATCTTACATTGGCAAGGCGATTGACGAAGATGGCATCTTCGGAGATGGATCTCGAATGCCCCACTTTGGACCGCTTCTTCGCTTGCACGTCGTCCCAACTGCTTCCACCTCTACTCTAGGAGACACCGGACCTGCAACAATGGAGCAAGAAGAAGACAGCGGGAAGTCAGCAACTGCAGAACAAGCCGACACCGGAGGATGGGGAGTAACAGGACCGGTCTCACCCAGCTGGGCCAATTCCAGTCCTACAGTCGGAGAATGGGGAGCAGTTCAACCACCAGTTGAAGGACCTGGCCCTGGAGGCGGATGGGGATCGTCAACTTCCAAAAGCGGCTGGGGTCCAGCAAGCCCACCTTATCCAGAGGCTCCAGCACTTCCTCCTGCAGACGTGGTGGAAATCGATCCGTACTGAACAACGCGCGGCACCAGCTAGGGTTGACCTCCCCTTCCAGACCAGTACGCTCCTGAAACACCAGAAGAAACAAAAGGAGAGTCAGAAGAAATGACTTACGATTTCATGGGAGCAGCAGAACTACCCGAACCTACTGAGGAAGCGCCCCCACCGGAACAAGGACCTCAGCTAGTTCCGATCGCCGGCGACGAATACCTCTACCGTTGCGTCCCGATGGAGGGACTTCGAGCTTTTGAATGGCCTGAGGCGGCACGACTTCAACGACCACTCGTGATTCACACCGCTGATAAGGACGACATTGCTGGGATTCCCGACGCCGTCCTGGAACGGGTCTCCGCCCGAGCCTTAGCAACAGATGTGAGCGACGCCACCGGCAAAGGACTTGATACGGAGCAGCGAGACGAAGCAGAGAGAAACAAATTTTATCAGAGAACGGTTTGGCTACCGCGCAGAACCAGTAGTCTGGCATCAGTGACTCGGACATCCCTCACACGCCACACTAAAAAATTCAATCGAAGCTGGAGTCTTCGACTCAGAAGCATTGTTGCTTCCTAGAGGCAATACCCTCACGACAGCTTCAGACGACCTGCCATGCCTCGTCTGCCCCACCGCGTCACTCGCCCACAAGCCCTTCCCCGAACCTCCTGGCTCCTGGTTTGTGAGGGGTAGAAAGTCTACCGCGACTTCGTGATACTTAGCCAAGAAGGGCTTGACGACGAGCAAAAAACGATGACCTTCATCGACGCATGCACGCGATACATGTGGGCCATCAACATCGACTACCGCTCACGAGCTTTCAACTGCTTCATAGCATGGATGAAACGCGCCAAGCAACAGTCAGGATTGAAGGTGAAAAGTTTCCAGACAGACGGAGGAGCAGAGTTCTTCTCAATTGAGTTAAAGGAACTCTTCGCCAAGAAGGGGATTGAGCATCTGGTGTCCCTGCCCTATGCTCACGAGCAGCAAGGAGTAGCAGAACGGACAAACAGGAGCCTCGCCACAAGGATGAGGGCCCTGATGAAGCAGTATGCCATCCCAACCAAGTTTTGGCCATTTGCGATAAACCATGCTGTTCGGCTACACAACTTGTTGTCCTCCCGAAGCCTCGAGAACAACACCTCTCCTTACAAGGCTTGGACGGGCAGAAAAGCTGACACGCGCCTTCTTTGAGTGGCTGCATGGTACAGTACAGGCCATACACAGTAGGGACCGGAAAGTGTGCGGATCGGGCACGTTAGGGCATTCACCTCGGGATCGGAAAGGAATACAAGGCGTGGATCGTGCTGGACTACGCGACACACGAAGTGACGAAATCACGTGATTGCATCTTCTACGAGAAGCTGACCCTGCTACTGTTCAAGGAACACCGCGAAGCTGACAAGGCATCGGAGAGGGGTGTTGAAGTTACCGGCTTCCACGACTACGACCGCCTCACCTACGAAAAGACCAACGAAAGTGCCCTTCGCATCCTCGGGCTCGCCATCGCAGTTCGCCACACCTCACCCAAGGAACCCACCACGGTGCGACAAGCTCTGTCTAGGCCCGACATTGAGAAGTGAAAGGCAGCCATGGTGGTAGAAGTAGCACCACTGCAGCGCCGTGGGACTTGGAAGCTCGTCCCCTGATCATCTGCGAAGGGGAGAAAGATTCTCAGCGGCAAATGGGTTTTCAGGATTAAAACTCTCGCGGATGGCTCCATCGACAAATACAAGGCAATGGCTTTGAGCAGACTCACCTGGTGGATTACGACCATACCTTCACACCCGTTGGACGGCATATCTCCGTCCGCATTCTCATCTGCATCGCAGCCGTCCAGCAGCGTCCGCTCCGACAGATCGATGTCGGAAGCGCGTTCCTATACGCGCCCACACGCGCTTGAAGAAAGCGGCAGCGCCGTTTGCCTCCTCCAGAATTACCTCCATGGCATCAAACAAGCGCCTCGTCTGTTGCAGCAGTACCTACACACCGTCCTCATGGAACTCGGCTTCGTTCAGCTACCGCATGACCAAGGAATGTACGGAAGGAGTCGCGCGGCAAGTTCATCCTTCTCATCGCCTACGTCGATAACCTACTTTATACCAGCGACGACGCGAAACTACTTGACCGATTTGAAGAAGACATCAAGGAGAAGCTCGAGGTGACGATCAACCACAACGTCACGCAAGTCCTGGGTCTCAATATCACATGGTCCGCCACCTCCATTCACCTCTTCGCCGCCAAGTATGCAGAAACGCCTGCGAAGAAATTCGCAATCGCTCCAATCAACCTCACCACACCCTTTCGTACTCCTCCTCCGAACCACGAACCCGACACCACGCCACTCTCTATCGAAGATCACCGGCTCTATCAGCAGCAGTTGGGGTGTCTACTGTTCCCCACCGTCACGTGCCAGCCAGATCTATTATACGTCGCAAGCCAGCTCGCGCAGTATCTGCGTCGACCTGAAGTGGAGAATGTCAAACATTATATATATGTTATTGCTGTGTAGGCTATAGTGGGTTAGCCTTTAGGGGGTACACAACTCTAGGGTTTCATACTTGTACTCCAATGTTTCATAGTTCAATCACTTCTTGATTCTGTCATGGTATTAAGAGCGTAGGTTACACCTAGGAACGCTTACCTAAGGGCCCACCTTTTCCGCTAGAAGCGCCCTCGAGCGCCTTAATGAAGTAGCGCCCTCGAGCGCCTCTCTCCTAGTGCGCCCTCGTGCGCCTCTCCTTCTCCTGCTGCCCGTGTGCAGCTTGCTAGTGCCGCGCGTGGCCTTTTTTTTTAGCGCGCGTAGCCCGCTAGCAGCCCGCGCGCGGCTTTTTTCTGCGCGTGCGCCGACCCCTAGCCGCCCACGCGACCAGCACCGCCCACGAGCAGCCCGCTAGCCGCCCATCGACCGGCCGTCCTGGCCGCCCAGAGCGTCGCAGCCCCGCCCGTAGGCCGCCGCGTCGCCCCGCTAGGCCGCCGTTCGAGCGCGAGTCAGGCCCACGCACAGCCACGGCCCGCCCGCTACAGCCGCCCACGCGCACGCCCACCGTCGCGCGGTGCCGCGTAGATCCGCCCGAGCCGAGCCGCGCCGCCAGAACCGAGCCGCGCCGCCCGAACCGAGCCGCGCCGCCCTGGCCGAGCCGCGTCGCCCTACTGTGCCCCACCTGCAGCAACTCCTGTTCCTGTTCCTGCCTATACTACTGCTTCAGCTGCTACTGTTACTGCTACTGCTACTACTGCTACTGTTTCTACTACTGCTACTGCCACTATGGCCAGTCCTTCTGTTCTTACTTTTGACGCTGAGGGCCGCCCGATTAAGTTTGAGGTTTGGTTAGATGACCTACACCTGTTCCTCCAGATCACTGCCAAGGACGATGTCTCCCTCTGTGACCACACGTCAGGCGCCGCTCCCGCACCTGCCGCTACTGCTGACAGTACTGCTCGCTCCCAGTGGCAGACCCGTGATGCTCACGCTCGCCTAGCCGTTCGCAGCCACTTGCCGTTAGATGAGCGCGAGCACTTTGGCCAGCATAAGACCGCTAAGGAGCTGTATGATGCGGTAGTTGCGCGCTACTCCTCCCCTGCCACTGCTGCGATAGGCCATCTCTCACTGCCCTACCTCTTCCCCGATCTGTCCGCTTTTGCCACTGTAGCTGACCTCATCGCCCACCTCCGTACCAGTGACCTCCGCTACCGTGCCGCGCTCCCCCCCGATTTCCTTGCCAAGAACCCCCCCCCGATGTACCTCACACTGTACCACCTAGTCACCCGCCTCCCTGACTCCCTTCGCACTGTCAGGGACCAGTTTCTCGCCCTCTCCCCCACTGACCTCACTGTCGACCTCCTCGAGAAGGAACTCCTAGCAGCTGAGAAGAGCATTGTAGCTGTAGGTGCCTCTCGTGGCGACCCCCGCTCTCCCTTCTTTGAGGGGTGCTCCCCCTCCCCCCTCCTCCCCTCCATTGCATCTGCTGCTGCTGTCGACTACCTCGGTGCTGAGGGGGTCGGGGCTGCGTCTGCTCCTAGTGGGAGGCGCAAGGGCGGCAGGGGCAAGGGGGGCAGGGGTGGCGGAGGTGGAGGCGGGGGCGGCGGCGGTGGCGGGGGTGGGGGGGGCGGGGGTGGTGGCAGAGGTGGGAGTGGCGCGGGTGGTGGGGGGGTCAGTGGCGGCACAGGGGGTGGTGGCGGCGGCGGTGGTGGGGGTGGTGGGGGAGGTGGTGGCAGTGGTGGCGGCGGTGGAGCTGGTGGCGGGCGCGGTGGAGCGGTGCAGCGTGGGGGGTTCGGTGGTGGCCAGAGGCAGCAGCAGCAGCGTCCAGGCGAGACTCCCTTGCCCCAGCAGCTCCGTGAGTGGAGGTACCTGCCCGTACGTCATCCGCACAGATGACCGCACTGGCCAGACCTGTGGGAGGTTTCACACGGCGCAGCGCTGCTTCTTTTGCCTCGACGACGCCTGGCGCGAGCAGTTTCCTGACGCCTCTGAGCTGCC